AAACAATGTTCCCAAAGTGCTGACAAAATTCATGGATGCAGATACTTCATTGTTGCAAACCTTGCAAAATCTCATACTCAAATTTGTCTCTCTTGTCGGAAACAAAGAAAGAAGAGCACTCAGTTATGAACAATGTTATCAATTTGCTACAGTACTGCTTGACTTTTTTTTATCCTCGATAACAGGGGGATAAATTAGTATGAAATTTAACGTAACATTATGTGAACTACATCGATGAATTTGTTCAGAATTTTCTGAAATATTTTATCCTGAATTTGTATGTGATTTTCTCAAAAAGGTGGGAAGTTGCGCTGGACATGAAGCAGTTATCCATGCCAAAATAGACCATACACTATGGCCCTTGAGATGAAGGGTGGAGCCACAACATGGGCATGATGCGACATGAAGAAAGTGTAGCTCCTATTTTGCTATTTAAAGGCATGAGAACATCAGCACAGATACTCAACAAAAAAAATGTACAAAAAGGAAAAAAAATGAAGCATTCGTTTTACGTAGAGCCTTCGTGATCAGTTGTCTGACCAGTTGTTTCATGCTTCTGAAGCAGATTAAACTAAGTACAACACACTACAGTTCAGCAACTGCAAGCTAAACCTTGGTGATCTAAAGCAAGCCCACAATCAAATGGTCAAACATGGTCAAATTCATCTCTAAATTGGCCACTGTGTTCTTGATTCATGAATCCGTAATTTTTGGAGTTGGACTGAGATATTTTTTTTTAGTTCGTGCAGCAACAGATTCAGCAGTTGACTATTGTTAAAGGCTTCATCGTGCTATCAGCCAAACATCGTACCACCAGCATTCGATCGCCCAAACCTCAACAAAGCAAGCCCGCTACTGTAAAACGGGCCTCCCGTTTTCCCGGCCAACCGACACGTGTCAGGAAACCGCAGTAACCCGGAGAGGCCACATCAATCAAACAGCCCAGAATCTTCAAAATGGCGCGGGCGCCTGACGTACAGCAGACGTACCGATGAGGAGCGACGCGCTGGCCTCGGGGAGGTAGTAGACCCTGCGGCGGCGGAGGAGGTGGCTGAGCACGAACGCCAGCACCAGCATCGATATCTGCAGCAGGATCCCCACCCCCGCCGCCTCCTCCTGCTCCTCCACCGTCGGCGCCCCCTGCGGCGCCGCCCCCGCCGCCATCCCTCCCTCCCACTCTTCCTCGCAAGCTCTCGCGGGTGCGAATGCTTCCTTGGCTTCGGCGCCTCGTTTGATTCCCGATGATTCCTTTTCCGGGATATTTGTCGCTGTTTTCCTTTCGAAAGTTCTTTTTCCGCCTCTGAAATTTTCTTCGGGTTTCCTCTCGTGCTCGTTCCTCTCTGCGTGGACGGCTGGGATGCGTTTGACTACACCTGACGGCTGGGATGCGGCTGGTACTGGGAGCTTGCCACGTCTCCGTGGACATTTGCACGGAGGAAGCTTCAAAGAACATGAGTCGAGTTTCACTTATTAAATATTCAGCCTGCAGTTTTCTTTTAATACTGTACAGACACAAGCGCTCATATACACGCTCATACACTTAATCCTACGAATGCGCATATGCACATCTTAACCCTATGAAAGGTCTCTTCCCACTTAACGTCGAAAATTCTGAAATAAATTCAGGATAAATGCAAGCATCAGGATTTAAAACCTGATGGACTAGACATACCGCTGTCCTACTAACCACCCAACCACGGCTGGTTTGCAATATTCAGCCTGCAGTTGTTACAAATAGTGCTTCGTATCTTTATTTGAAATTAGTATAATATAGTAAATTTCATTTTTTTACGCTCTAATTTCATGTATGTGATAACAATTACCCTATTTTTGTAACTTTTTTGTATTTTTATCCAATTTGTGTCACAAATTATCCTCTTTAATATTTTTTTTCCAATCTGTCAAGACGGTCCCACGTATCAGTGCTTACTTGGCTCTCGAGTCTCGACATAGACCGAGTAAAATTTAGCCAACCAGTTTTCTTTGGTCAGTTTTGATGGCTCCTCTCGTGTTTCTCCTAAGTCGTACCTAAGCAGCCAGGCTTGTAGATTTTGTGGATTTAGGCACCGGCGTAGTGGGGGGAAATGGTGATGCAACCCGAACTCCCGTGCATGAGTGCCTCCTCCTCCCAAGGGGATACGATGACGATTTTGGCCTCCCATGGAGTCTGATGGATGCATTGACCACTAACGGTGACGTGCATCATACTCGCCTTGAGCCCAAGCAGGCTTTCCTCGGGAGACGATGGTGAAGGATGGGGACGGGGAGGCGGTTTAGGAGCTGGTCGACAAACGATGGGGGCATAGGCTAGGGATTTTGGGGCAGGGAGGGGTTCACAACATCATGTACTACACGACAATTTTGCAAGAAAAAAGAAAAAAACGCATGCAAGTGGCCCATACGCCATCGATTTATTCTTGAATACGGCGACCAAAGTGAATTTGAAGGACAAGTCCAATGGATGTCGATGAGTTTTACTCCGCTAATGATACATACTGATGACCCACGAATATAGGGATCAATCGTATCCTTTCGATAAATAAGAGTGTCGAACCCAACAAGGAGCAGACGAAAATGACAAACCGTTTTTAGCAAGGTAATTTCTGCAAGCACTGAAATTGTCGGTAACAAGTAGTATGATAGTAAGATAACTTGTAACGGGCAAGTAACTGTAATAGTAAATAAAGTGCATCAAGGTAGCTCAATCCTTTTTGTGGCAAAGGACGGGTTGGACGATCTCTTATAATAAGCAAAGCGTTTTTCAGGACACACGAGAATTTCATATAGTCACTTTCATCATGTAGGTTTGATTCGCCTTCGCTACCCTGATAATTTGATATGTGGGTGGACCGGTGCTTGGGTGTTGTTCTTACTTGAACAAGCCTCCCACTTATGATTAACCCCCTCGCAAGCATCTGCAACTACGGAAAAAAAAATTAAGATAACAATCTAACCATAGCATTAAACATATGGATCCAAATCAGCCCCTTACAGAATAGCGCATAAACTATGGCTTAACCTTCTGTCACTCTAGCAACCCATTATCTAATAACTACTGCAATCCAGTCCCTTAGGCCCAAAGAATAAGGGAATCACAACATACATATCATCAAAATATACGAATATCAAATTCACATGATTACTTGCAACATGACTTCTCCCGTGGCCTCAAGAACAAGGGCAACTACTCACAAATAATATTCATGCTCAAGATTAGAGTGGTATTAAATAGCATAATGGATCTGAACATATAATCTTCCACCAAATAAACCATCTAGCATCAACTACAAGATGTAATCAACACTACTAGTCACCCACAGGTACCAATCTGAGGTTCCGGTACAAAGATTAAACACAAGAGATGAACTAGGGTTTGAGATGAGATGGTGTTGTTGAAGATGTTGATGAAGATTGGCCTCCCAAAGATGAGAAGGTTGTTGGTGATGACGATGGCTTCGATTTCCCCTTCCGGAGGAAATTTCCCTCGGCGAAATCGCTCCGCCGGAGGGCAAAAGTGCTCCTGCCCAAGTTTCGCCTCGAGATGGCGGCGCTCTGTCCCGAAAGTCATCTCCTTATTTATTTTTCTAGGTCAAAAGACCTTATATACCAGAAGATGAGCACCAGAGGTGGGCCAGGGCCCCCACTACCCATCAGGGCGCGCCAGGGGGCTGGCGCGCCCTGGTGCCTTGTGGGCACCTGGGGTGGCCCCCTCTGGTAGTTCTTTTCTCCAATATTTATTATATATTCTAAATTAATTCTCCGTAAAATTTCAGCTCATTTGGAGATGTGCAGAATAGGTATCTCTGACATAGCCTTTTCAGGTCCAGAATTCCAGCTGATGGTATTCTCCCTTTTTGTGTAAACATTGCATATTATGAGAGAAAAGGCATTAGAATTACTCCACAGAGTGTTAGGATGCATAAAAACACTATAATTAACAGTAGGAAAACATGATGCAAAATGGACGTATCAACTTCCCCAAGCTTAGACCTCTCTTGTCCTCAAGCGAAAGTCGATATCGAAAATCATGTCCACATGTTTAGAGAGAGAGGTGTCGATAAAACAAAATACGGACATAGTAGCATCATGCTTATTATTATAACACCAACAAACTTTACCATATAGCTTCTCATGAACAAGTAACAATTCATCACAACATCGAAGTAGAAAGCATAAACTTAAATGTGTTGGTGTACTCAAGTAGGGGCACTCCTTCGTACCCCTTATTTGTGCACGGGCAGTCAGAGCCGCGCCCACGGCCACACTTAAGCAGGGCAGAGACAGGGAATCAAGGCCGCAAGATGGCCAAGGCAACGCCAAGACAGAGGCATAAAGAGCAAGAAGGTGAGGTGGTTTCCCCCGGCAGGACCCTTGCCGGGGCAGCCTCCATGGCCCTGGCAAGGACCTTGCCGGGGCAGCTTACCCGACGCCAGTGGAGCGCGCCACCCTTGAGCCCCAGTTTTTCCAACACCGCCAACCACGTTGGGACCTGGGCTCGGGAGGCGCCTCCATGATGGCATGCAGATCTTCGTGAAGACAAGAAACACTTCAAAGCAGAAGAGGATTAGAAGACGACGAACCTCGGCGAAATCCTTGTCGAGGAAACCCACAAGACCCCCGGCAAGACCCTTGCCGGGGATGACCGCAACGCCATGGCAAGACCCTTGCCGAGGACATCCGTGAGGCCACAGATATACACATCAAAGTAAGACTAGGGTATTACGCATCCACTCCCATGCAGCTGCCAGCCCACCAGCTAGGCAGGCGCCTGCGTGTCGACGTGAGGCTTCCAGGCCAACTCAGCATATGCCTACGTCATGGCATGCAAACCTTCATGAAGGCCCTACCACCACGCCACCTCAGCAGCCTGCCAGCCTACATGGCGCTGACCGCCTCGCTAGCCCGGGCGCGTGTCAAGGCAGGGCGAAGCGGTGATAAAGTGAAGGGGACACGTCAGAGGCGCATTAAATGCGTCTTGTCCGGTAATGACAAGCGATAGGCTTACCCACAGTACCCGATGCCACCTCCTGTGTACCACTGTGGCGATCCCCTTGCCTATAAAAGGAGGCCCAAGGCATCCAAGAGAAGGATTCGGACCCTTGGACAAGTTACGCTCGTTGTAGCTAGCTTAAGAACTCCAAGAACACAGATATACACATCAAAGTAAGACTAGGGTATTACGCATCCTTGCGGCCTGAACCTGGGTAAACGACCCGTGTGTTTGTGTTGTCTGCTGATCCCGCTCTTCTCACGACCCCGCGCCCCGCAACCGCAGTAGGGATTCTTGTGATCCCATAGGTGTCGTTTCCCACCGACATCTTTGGCGCGCCAGGTAGAGGGCGTAGTAGTGAGAATCTGGTTTAGCAGCTGGTCGAGCAGCTCCTCATCGCCATGGCTTCCAAAGAAGAAGGTGACCAAACGAGGAGCTCCGTCAGCAGGTGCAGCAAGCGTTCGCACGACAACAAAAAAGTTAAGTCATGCAAAACTTTGAGTAATTCCTTTTTATATAAAGGTTATCCTCCTCGGAGATCTTCCCTTGGTATGAGAAACCTGCACGCAGTGGGGCCCGTCCATTATTGGCAACGCCCTTGGTCTGTTTCAAGTCCGCTCAACAGATCGAGCGGCTGCGTCGAGAACGGCATGGTGGCCTTCCGCTATTGGCAACGCTCTCGCTCTATCTCGAGTCCGCTCGACAGTTCGAGCGGCCGCGCTAAGAACGACAAGGTGGTTTGCACGGCAGCAAGCACACCCTGCCGACCGCTAAAGGATTCGTCCTTCAAAGCATGGTGGTTTGGGTTCGCGCGCCGGCAAGCCTACCCAATTGGCGTAGGGTGGACATACAAGGAAGGGTTGAGCAGGGGAATAACATGCATCAAATTTAAAACACTACAGAGTTATATTACATCAATTGTTGCTGTGGTTCTAACTAAAGATATGAATTATCTTGGTAGTGAACCCGCAGCGGCAACAAGAAACGGGGTGCCTAATCCCGATGCTGGCCCTCTATCCTCTGAATTCCGCCGACGCAGCTGATGATGGGCTCGATGCGCTCCTTGAGCACCGAGAGGTCTGCATCGCCCGGCAAGCTATCCAGCGCGGCGTCAAAGTCAAGTTCGAGGTTCTAGTATGCCAGCTTGGTGAGGACCTTGGTCATAGCGCCCTGG